GCGTCCAGGGCGAGTTGTGCAAAGATCGCATCGCTCTCGAAGGTGGCTGTAGCGGCTGGGCTCGTTCCACATCAACCGCACGCTCGTTGCCATCATTGGACACCGACAGCCAGGCTCTGCAAGTTGGAGACTCTGAAGCACGTCCTACTTCAGCAAGGAGTCTCGGACTCGACCAGAGCGATCATGCAGCAGCTCTGATTCTGGATCTGCCCGACACCTTGTTTGATCACACTGCGCTGCAGGCGCCAGCAGCTGCTGCAGTCGGACCTGGTTTTGCTCAGGTGGCCCAAGATGAGCAAGCGTTGGCTCTAGATCGCATCCTGCCCAAAGCAGGGCCAGATGCGATGTCAGCGTTCCTGCTACACGGCGAAGTCACAGATCAAACGTCGGAAACTATGCCGTTCCCCTGGGAGAGCTTTTCTCCGGACAACTTTTTCTATCGACAGCTGCTTCAAGCACGCACCCGCATGTAGCACAGAAATTAGCCTTCGAGACCGTCAGCTCGAAGTGATGGCGCTTAGATTCTGGCTGCAAGCTGGCCGCTCGCTGCCATAGTCGCTACAAACACGAAGAGATCCGAGACAGCCGACATGCTGCCTCGTCCGACTGCCTCTGCTCCCAATGAGGCCAGGGAGGCGAGCGCTGGTCCCGGGCACTTTGTTCAATTGGCGCATTTCGTTGGTTAGCAAAACTCACTCAATGTATGCATATTCAGGGCTCGAGCCAATTTGGTCCAACTTACCAGTCCAGTGGCTCCCCAGCCAAGACCGAAGAAGATGGCGCCTAGGACCAGTCTGGCATCGATCTTGGACGGGTCAGCTGGTGTCCGCCATTCTGGTGCTACAAGCGACAGTTTTGGCCGCAGCCGGCTGCTGGCATCTTGTGATTTCTTCGAGGAAGAGCCGAGCCGACGAAGTTGATCCTGCTTGGGCTTTACCTGCTGAAAGTATGCGATTGAGGCTGGGATGATGCCGCCAATGGCGACCATAGCAAGGGACGGATCCCATTTTCCCGACGAAACCAGGGCGGGAGACAGGGAAAGGAATCCGAGTACCTTGGAAGGCCTCATCATGCCGCTGACGCCGAGAGCGAAGCTGAAATGCACTCCCACTGCTAGCGCCATAGTTTTGGCGGCTAAGAGCTGCTTTGCCGCGCGCGTCTTTGATGTCGAGTCCGACTTTTCACCGCTCTGAAGTGCGGAAGGTGCAGCAAGGTAGACCAATGCTGGAAGCTGGAGAGCCAGCAAAGTGGCCAGGTCGGGTTTGGGGAAGGTAGCAGGAAGGCGGCTGGCGAAGGCAGACCCAAGGGCCTGCGTCGTTGTGGCAGACTTGGCCACGTTGAAGACGTTGAAGACATGAGTGAGTACAGCTACGCCGAAGAATGTAGCAGTGGCAACGAGGGAGCGCAGCGAGAAGCGCGACAGACCACACAGGAAATGACCCGATGTGCAGCCGTTGCCGAGCTTTTGGTGAAGATAGACAAAAGTGTGCGGAGCGAGGAGCGTCAGTTGGAGCCGTCTATAAGGGGTGTACGCCGAATTGCGAATCAGCCGAGCACGACTCACCTTTGTACCGAAGCCGACGAGAGCGCCGAAAACTACAGACGGCAAGAGGCTGTTGCTTCGCACTGCTCCACCGTTGTCGAGAATCGAGACTCCGAGTCCTGTCTCGATACGGGGGCGTGCTAGGCCAAGGATGATGCCACCCGCGAAAATACCGGCGGTAAAGTAGGGAGCAACGGTCGAGTAGATAGACTGCGCAGTACTGTCCTTGCGGAGTCCTGCTCTGTTCAGGGTCGAGGTGACAGTCGAGTGGAAGAAGCCCGAGATGCCGAGGACGAGACCCAGCTTGGATAGAAGGGTGTGCAGGGATGCCGCCATCATCAGCCCGCCAGCCAGGCTATGATACGGCGTGAACTCCGCCAATCCGGTCGACATGGTGACTGTCGAGAACGTGCCTAACCACACGTAGGCTACGATGGGTGAGATCAGGATGATAGGAATGATTGCAACCTGCGCCCGCAGGATGCGGATCGCTCAGCGTGGCCAGTGCATCGAAACTGCGTCCTAGGCCTTCGACCGAGCGGACATAGATCTGCGATCTGTGCTCCAAGACTCGTCGGGATCGCCGATTCTATGCGATGATTTTTCGCTCGCGTGTGAGATCGTGAATTTCGAAGGGGAAACTCGGCCTATTCGTCAGAGCCGGTCCTCCCGGAGACGCCAACGCGGGTGCAGCACGGCGTTTTGTGAGGACCTCGGAGTCCGACGATTCCATATTGCCGCACTTGTCCATGGCGGCCGGCTCAGCTGGCGCCAAGGTCCATATGCTGTTCGGCGTCTCATCCATGGACTAGCTTAGACTGCGTTGCGTGACATTTCGTCCACTTCCGGACGCAAATCCAATGCCAGGCTTCCAAATAGAGCCATCGTTGCCGAAAGTGAAGGGGCTGTTGACATATTTCCATAGTTCCGCTAGGTGGGACAAGCCCAGTCGGCTTGGGCTGCTCAGCCTGCGCGAAAGTCCGTCCGTCGGACCCTGTTGCTCTCCTGCTCTCCTGCGAGTTCCTGCCGGGTAACATCGGTCACGCCTGGATGCTTTTGATAGCCGGATACCACGACTCGCGGTGGGACAAGATTTGAGCTCATATCCTCTCTCTCCCACCACTTCTCTGACCCACCAATCCGAAACGCCTTTTGCTGTTGACGACACCGAACATTGGCCGATGCTCTCTAGGTAGTCGGCTCTAAATTTCGGCCAAGTCCGCACTTGCGGCACTCTCGGTTTACCAAAAGCCTGAGCCTGCCTCTCAACTTTGCGCCACGGACCCACACCACGTCGGAGTCATCAACATCTCTCAGATCGCAGCGTTTTCCCGCCAACGCCTCAAGAGGTCCTTGAGAAAAGCAGAACGGGGCCTGGTCAAAGCCGACTGGAGCTTCGCTTGCCACACGAAAACGACATCTACACTGCATTCCGGCTCGCACGCTTCTTCTCTCGTCCAGCCAGTGTCCCAACGACCCCAAGTAACCACCGTGTCTCTTTGGAAGACTCAACCTCGATCTTGGCAACATGGCAGAAGCGATCGACGTGCCGCCCGTCGACAACCCTCGAGCGTGGAGCACTCGTAAAAAAGTGCGCGTCACCCTCATCCTGGGAAGCATGGTACTCTCCTTCACCTATCTCTCGACGGCCTTTGCTCTTTCGGCAACATCGCTCCAGCGCCAATTCAAAGCAAGCGCCGAGGTGGTCACGCTCGGGCTTTCGCTATACGTCTTGGGATTCGCGCTGGGTCCCCTGATGATGGGCCCTTTGGCGCAAACCATGGGCAAGCGTCCCGTCTACGTCTACTCGTGGATTGTGTTCACAGCATGCTGCTTTGTCATGTCCGAGTCGAACAACTTGGCCGTCATTCTGGCATTCCGTCTAATCAGCAGCATCGCTGGCTCCTCGGCCCTCAACAACGTGCCGGCGTCGTACAGCGACATGACCACGCCGGCCAGATTTGCGCCATTCTTCACATGCTACGGCTTTTCGGCCTTCGCTGGTCCTTCGCTCGGTGGACTGGTGGGCGCGTTTGTCAACGAGCGTGCTGGATGGCGATGGAACTTGCGGCACCAGGCCATCTTTGTCGCGGTGGTCACCGTGTTTGGCGTTCTGTTTGTACCCGAAACCGATCATCCGAAGCTCAAGCGGATTCACGACGCTAAATATGCCTTGAACGACGGCCAAAAGTCGGTCGAGACTGCAGACAAGGCTCGGTGGTCAGCGCGCGTGGCGGATGCAACACACTCGTTCGGCACAGTAGTGGTGCGCTCCGTCAAGCTTCCCTTCCATTGGCTACTCACAGGTGAGTGACGAGCATCCTCAAAGATGGTGAGCGTCGTTGCTGACCAAAAGCCCCACGCTCTTGCAATGTGGCCGTTGGCGCTCGACTACGTGTAGACCGGGTAGTGCTGGTGATCTCTATCTACACCTCGCTGCTGTATGCGATCATCTACGACTTTTTCGTCATCATTCCGTTCGCCTTCGCCTCGATCCGCCGCTTCAAGCCCGAATCGATCGGGTTGATTTACATCACGCTCTTCATCGGCTTCGCCATGGCTTCGTCCAACTACGTCTTTGTGCAGGAGGCCATCAATCGACGCATCCGTGCCAAAACGGGGAAGACGGTGCTGCCACCCGAAACGTCGCTATTTCATGCGATCTATGGATGTGCGCTTGCACCGGTCGGACTTTTCCTGTTCGCCTGGACCGTACCTTTCACGAGTGAGCACCCTCCCGGCACTGGAGTACGGACGAGTCCGCTTGCACGGAATGCGCTGACATGCTGACTGCTATACTTGGCGGCCGTATCGTTTGTGGTTGTCTACAGGTATCCACTGGATCGTTCCTGCTATTGGCATCGTGCTTCTGTGCGCTGGGTCGATGTCTGCGTTCACATCGTTGATCCCTTACCTAGTGGCGTATGGGGGCCCCTCAGCTCCGAGCGTGTTAGCCGCTGCTGGTTTCTGTCGATCTGCTCTGGCAGCTGCGCTGGTAAGTACACAGCAACGAGTGCGAACGTGAACACCCAGACGGACGACCTATGCCTGTCATTTTGCTCATCCTCGACTTAAACCTCTTTGCAGCCGCTCTTCACGCGACAAATGTGCAAAGGGATCACAGTGCAGGGAGCTACGAGCCTGTTGGGAGGGCTCGCGCTGCTGCTGACGCCACTGCCCTTGTTGCTGTACATTCACGGCGGGAAGCTGAGGGAGCACGCCAAGCAACGCAAAGAGGCAGCAGCCGCATCCGCCACCGCCGCAGCTGCCGCCAGCACTGCAGGCAGTAGCGAAAAGGACCTGGCTGATAAAGAGGAGCAGCCCCTCGCGCAGGGAGCTAGCATTCCGCCAGGGGGCGCGATTGAGAATCAGCCCTCGCAATCCTCGCTAGACATTTCGTCCGCTCCTTCGGGCGACGTTGCATGACACAGTCTACTGTAGACGCATGTCGGATCCATACATCTTGTTAGATCCGCTGCTGCGAATCGGTTTGACTTGGTGGCGCGGATCATCACTCGTCCACGAGCTAGCGGACCCGATCGAATGTCCGAGTGAGGAGCGCAGGCGCACAGCTTTGTTCCCCGATCCAGATCGGCCGATTTGACCAAGCGGGATGCAACCCGAAGGATGGATGTGCGAAGAGGGCGGAGGAATCAAAGTTCAATTCCAGGGTGTCGGCGGAGTCTCGACTGCTGTAAGCTCCCGCTTCTTCTGGCGCGGGCGGTCTTCAAAGCGAGCGGGAGGAGTAGAGCGGCTGCGGGCTGCAGGATCTTTACAGCTCGACGAGAAAGCGGGCCATTCCAACATGGCCGGTCCGAATTGAATCCTCGCGGCAGAGCTTTGAACTCGGACAACAAACCGAAAGCAAGGTCCGCGTGCCGGCGGCATAAATCGAAAGTGCAACAGGCATGGCTCGGCGCGAGGCACTCTGGCACGCCTTCTGGCTCCAGCAGGCGAGCGGCATCGAACAGCCGAAGCACGTTGCGCAAGTGGACCCTGAAAGTCGAACCCGCATGCTTGGCGTGGGCTGCTGGCGTGCCTATCGAGCGTCAGAGCAGAGCGGAAGCCAGGCCACGTTGGCATCCGGCCCATCTTTGATCGAGCCAGTCGAGCTCTAAAGTCACAGCCGAATCCTTAGTCTGTCACACTTCTGACAGGCGAGATGGCTGGAAGACTGCACCTGCACAAGCAACACCGCCTTGAAAGCACCGCCTTTTGCCCCCCCCCCCCCCC